CTGTGTAGTAAATTCTGCTCCATCTGAAAGCACGTGATGATGATTTCCTGCTGATTACAGAACCGGCATTACTATCAAAATGTGCATAACAATCACATTCGATTAATCGTGCAGCCCTATGGCCGCACCAGTTGCACCCCCCTAAGGACGGCCCCGATACAGCCCGCCTGATTATTCCATACGGCCCGCAGGCCAAGAAACTGAAATCTAATGCAGTTGCCAAATTAACCACACAGAGTTGCAGTTACCAAACGAAAAGCTCCACACTGTGCTATGCCATGTAGGCCTACTGTTTTTCTTTCTTTCCTTTTTTTTTTTGAGTGTACGCACACCGGCAGCTCCGAAGGTTGCTCAAAATGCTGCCATGCCACAAAGTTTTCACATAGGGTCTTTATCTTTTTTTCAATTTAAATAAATTGTAGTTTTCTTACCAGCTCATGATTCTGAAAGAAATGTGCCAGGATCTTACTGTTAGGGATGTACTAGTAGGGATGAAACCAGTGGCACCTGCAGGTGTATGGCTGTACGCACTGTGCGTACCATGAGCACTCCGACTGACCTGAGATTTGCCCCGCAAACATTTCAGCAGTTATTATAGGCCTGTGTCGAGTGAACCAGCCATGCCATTAATTATAATTTTTTTAGTCTTTTGCATGCCAAAGTCAATTTCTGCATATAAATATTACGCCAAATAGAAGCAGAAAATCGTGCTATACACATTCATGAGATCGTGTTAGCCTACAACAATTAATTTGTAGGTTATTTTACAAATGGAAATGCAACGAATTCATGACAATGTTTTACATTCAAGCTACCCGTAAAATTTATAGTGAAAAGTACTTTAAAAGCATCTGGAATGCAATAAGGTAATTTTTAAAAGATGTTTTTAAAGCATTTGCTTCATGGAAAAAAAAAAAAAAAAAAAGGCTAATAAATAATTCACATATCAGACAAAATTGCGTTGCAGCAAATCCTTTAAAAAGCTATACAATTATAGGACAAAGTTTTGCATATATGCCATTATAATTTGTGTTTTATTTTTTAATTGTACAGAATTATAAAATAAAATGAAAATTATAATCGTGCCTGTTTTAGGCTTTTCCTTATTTTTATATTTTATACATCCATCGATTATGGTGATGAAAAAAATGACTCGCCATCTCCTCATTGGACGTGCCTTTAGAGAGAAATGCATCTTTAGGGATTACATAATGAAAGAGTTTCGATTTTCGATTTGAATTATTTCGTTTTAAAGTA